TCATAAAGCTCATATGAAAGGCGTATGATTTGCCCGGGAGGAGGGGCATAGACGCGTTGGCATCGTCGTCTGCGGACTTTATCTTTGATTTCGTTTGTGTGATGGGTGTTTGTGGAGGGGGCGGGACGAGTGAAGGTACGACAACGTCGATGGAGGGGAGGTAGTTGGCGGCCATGAGCTTGATCTTGTACCGCACGCTTTGAGCTTTTTGCTCGGGCTTGATGAGGATATGGCGGCATGCGGGACAACGTTTGGTTTTCTTGGAGTGGAGGGGGATGCGGAGGGGTTGCAGTTCACTGGACGCGGGTATAAGCATACGATAATGGAGAAAGGGGAAGAGCGCACCTGGCTTTCATACTTTGAACCCAGCTGCTCGACCAACGCTGCTCGACGTCGGAAACCTGCTCGATTCCATACACTTCATTTAGACTCTTTATCCACTCCATCTCGCTCTCCAAGCGCATCCCCCCGCCCGAGGCCGCTTCGAGCCGACTCTTGTACAGTGCAGACTCCCACTCGTCACGTCCCCTCTTGAGACTCTTTTGCTGCGGGGGAGTTTTGCCACTCGAATAGGAGCGACGAGGCCCGGTCCGCAATCCGGGAATGTCGCGTGCGAGCGCAGAGGAAGCAGCTGCGGTGATGGGGTTGTGATGATGGGGGGTCGTCGTCGTGGATGTAGCGTGTATGGCGCTGGAAGACGAAGAACGTAAAAGCAGGGGCTCAAAGTGATCTTTGAGTCTATCAAACTCGATCGAATCGGGGAGCGAGTCCTCGAGTCGCTGTAATTGCACTGCGTGGGGGCGTTTGAGAAGTTAATTATGCGAGGGGGTGGTCTTGACGTACGAGCGAGGCCTGTGGGCTTCTCGAATGTGATGCCGACTTCTGCGCTATCCCACCGGCAGTAGTTGCAGTAGAGGAAAAAGGGGGGTTCGCCGATCGAGTCGGGCTGGGCGCCGCCTGGTGTGGGTGGAGGCGGACGGGGCTTGTCGAGTTCGCTTTCGGGCGGGTCGGAGGGGACGACGGAGAGGGTGTTGCGACAGTGAGGACATTGAAAGCAGTTCCTCGCGCATCTAGCGACACATGTTGATCATTATCGGACGCGCCAAGGTGTGATATTCACCTGTTCTTTTCAGCCCTGACACTCGCGCTTGGGACTTCGAAAAGACAATTGGGGCAGTAGTAACCGCATACTTCGACGGACACGCAGCGATTGCAGCGCACGAGGTCGCATTCCTCGCAAAAGTAGAGTTTGTGGAGGGGGTGGAACGCGTAGGATGAGGAGGGGAGGGAGGGTTCTGGTGGGATGTTGGAGGAAGTGGAGGAGGAGGTGCAAGTGCAGTGGTACTCGACGGATGGTGGCATGAGTTGGGATGTAGACGGACATGCTTTCCCACAGTTTAGACGTCTACCCCTATTCGTTTGTCCCAATACCGACAGATGGACGCACCACGACAGCTCAGCGAGAAAGCCAAGGGTAAACGACGCGCGATAGAGCCGGATGAAGATGTGGAGGCGCAAGGAGGGGGGTCGTCGTCGAGGGAGGACCCGGGACTGCGCACGGTGACGATTCGGTTCACAGAAGGGGTGGAAGACCTGACATTGGTAATTTCGGACACGGACACGGTGCGGGAGGTCAAGAAAAAGGTGCGTGTCCGTGGTTCATGGGTGGCGTGAGCTGACGGGGGGACAGATACGATTACAACGAACGGGGTTGGAGAACCGACGGTTGCGGTTAATTCATTCCGGCAGATTGTTGACAGACGGGACGTACTTGTACGGGTGGCTCAAGTCGCTCGAGGAGCACCAACGGCGTGCGCAGGTCGAATCCGAGGATACGTCAACATGGCTGCACTGCTCTATCGGGATGGAAGGTGACGAAGAGGACACAAAGGAGCCGGTAAGTTGCGGATTTGTGTAGAGTGACAGAACTGAATGCATGTTTTAGAAGGCGCAAATGACGCCATTGCGTGGGTTTGATAGGTTGATGAACGCTGGATTTACGGAGGAGGATATCGCTACGATACGACGGCAATTTCGTATATCCAGGGGGCTGGAGCATAATGGGGGATCCTTGGACGACGATGGTAAGGCTCCCATCTGCAACCCTGCCCAAACTCATTTTTTGTGTTTACAGAAGACGAACATGCGCGGGCGTTGGAGGAACAATGGATTGATAATCTGGACGGGGGGGCTCTGGACCCGTCTCTGGACGCGAGTAAGTGGTGTGATGTGTATTTCGCCACCCACTGACGGAATTGGCAGCACCGGATGGATTGTACACGACGCTGCTCGAGGGAGTGATGACGGGGTTCTTTTTTGGCTTTACGCCATTCTTTTTCATGCGGCAGGCTCGGGCCCCCGCGTTCTTTTCGGACGAGTTTGAACAAATCGAGCACCAGTCGAGCGTGTTGTTTTCGTAAGTCGGGGTGACGGGGAGCGAGGCCGTCTGACTGATGCTAATTCACAGGAAACGCATGCAGATGGCCCTCGTGATTGGGCTGTTTGTAAACATTATGATTGGCATTCTCAAGTACGCCTATTAGCAATGTACGTCGTTTGGGGAAGGTCCTTAGCGTGGCAGCGCTGCACCAGATGATCGGGACCTGAAAACACGCGTGTCCACTCGAGCTTAAATCACAACGGGGAATTTAGAAAAAGCAAACGAGTGGGGGTATACAACATAACCTCTATAATAACCCAGATAAGAAGGAACGCGTGACCGGTCATCACTGTGCATATCGCACACACTAAGCGACCAGAATCTCCTGCTTTGCGCCCTGAGCTGCTTGCATCCGAAGGTTTGTGACAAACTTGCGGTCTTGCTCGGTGAGTTCCTCTTCAAAAGGTGCGCATGCGTTGGTGTAGTCGACAAAGTTTTGACACACAATTTCGGCGTGTCGAGCAGAGCGCGGACGAATGACAGCTTGGAACGGCGGTGTGACATAGACAAGTTGCTGTACACGAAAGGTTAGCGTCGTTCCGGGCGATTCTGGTCTACTGACCGGCTTTATCGCATTCAAATCGGGCTCGATGGGTCTTCCATCTGACCCGATGGGTTTCAATATGTCGTAGGCCCACAAGAGGTTAGACATGTTGAGAGCCTATCAAGACCAGTCAGCATCCGGTCACAAAGGGACGGGCCGACTCACAATTGTGTTCTTGGCCAATATCATGCCGGGGCACGAACGCTTGCCAAAACCAAATACAAAGTCCTTGAGCGTGGCGGCGTCGGTGGGGTCGACGCCTTTCTTGACTCCGTACGGGTGGGCCAGATATCGATCAGGGTCGAATTTCTCTGGATGATCGTATATCGCGCCGTCTTCGAATACGCCATAGAGATTGGGGAGGAGAACCGACTTGGCGGGAATACGATAGCCTTTGTACTGGAATAGGGGTGAGCGAAAGAAGCATAGACAAAAGGGGGTAAATTACATGGAGCTCTTCGGTCGACCTGTGGGGAACGGCCATGGGTGCGACTGGACGCATGCGATGGACCTGGGGAGAGTGAGTACGTGTAACGGTGGGAGAGAAGCCACGCACCTCTTCGATAATGGCACGGATGTAGGGAAGATTCTCGACATCCTCGGGGGTGGGACACCTGTCGAAGCCGATGACGCGGTCAAGCTCCTCGTGGGCCTTGGCCTGAACCTCGGGATGCGCGAGAAGGAGGAGGGTGGCGTTTTGAAGGTACGCGGCACTGGTGTCGTAACCGGTCTCGAGAATGGCTTGGCCGAGAACACTGGAGGATGTCAGGTGGGTGTCGTGGTGATGACAGGAGACTCACAGTGTCATTTCAGGAGTCATGCCCATTTCTTCCATACGCTCGCAGACGCTCTGCATGAACGAGCGAGTCTCCAAACCGTTGGCGGCGCGGTCCTGGCATGGTTTGAGAAGTTTCCAGTAAAACTCCTTGTGCCTTGCCCTGAGAGAACGACAAGCGGTCTTCCAAGGAGCCCATCGTTCGGGAACGTATCTGAGGATAGGGAGGAGGTCGAGCGGGGGCGTCTGGCCAATGCCCATGATGTGGTTAAAGTCGTGCGCATTGTCGATAAAGGTGCGGGCAAAGGGAGAATCATAGTCGACGACGCTTTGGCCAAAGGTGACAGACATGATGACGCTCAAAGCATAGCGTAGGTAGTGGGTGTAGTGGTCCTAGAGCGGTGTGAGAGAGGGAACTCGGAAGGGAGGAGGACAATACCTCTGGCTTTCGGAGCATGTCGTACATGAGCCGAGCGGACTCTGCTTTTTGAATGGCGATATGGCGGGCGCAAGCCTGGGGGCTTAGAATGTCGCGGGCGGTGCGACGGAGGATCTTCCATACAGGACCTGTGACGAGTCAGACGAGGTGGTTTTGAGGGGAGAGAGCGCACCTTGGGGCATGAATGGAAGATGGAGGCCATCTGTAATAACTTCGCAGATGTAATTCGGGGGACGGTCAGAGGTTACGGTGACATGGTTGAGGAGAAGCCTAGGGACGACGATGGGCAAAACATTGACACGACACGTCAAGGCACGCACTCTCGACAGACAGCGGGGGATGTCTAGGGCGAGGGTGAGCCAAAGCGCAAGTGGATTCGGGGAGACTCACGAGGAGCATCAAGTTCTCGTCGGCATTCTTGAAGCAGAAAATGTCGCCATAGACGCGAGACCACTTGGAGAAGACCTCGTACGGTCTGGAGGATGGAAAGTCGAGAAGGTTTCCAAAGATTGGGACGGGCTTTGGCCCTGGGGGGAGATCGGGATCGCGTCTGCCGATGCGCAAAACCTTGGCGGTGATGGCAGCGCCAGCGATGAGAACGAAGAGAGCGGCGTTTGTGGGAGTAAGATAGTCCATGGGGGTCATGAAAAACTAAAAAATCGCCCTGTTTTATATCGCGCAAAGGATCACGTCTTTTTTTCATTCGCCGGTCAATTGAGATAGAAACCCTTTGTCCGGCAATTTCATCTCTGGCCTCATCCGATCGAGGGTCCGTTACGTGACAATGACCAAAAAAGAAATGCTCTCCCTCTGGGAGTCGAACCCAGCTCTCCACCGTGACAGGGTGGTGTTCTACCGATATACCAAGAGAGACATTCAGAAGGCGCCTTACATCATCTCGATTATTCGCTATTCTATTCACCAGCCATGACTCGGACTCTATTAGTCTATTCGCTGTCCGAATCGGGTTTCGGTCCTCCATAAGTCAACCAATGCAATTTCCGCAACCGCCGTCGCTCCTCTTTTGCTTTCAATTGGTTCCTCGTCAGTTTCTTCTTTTTTGTCCCTGGCGTTGACGCTCCCCCTGCGTCTTCTGTCCCACTCGCGGCGGGAGTGCCCGTTTGGGGTGTCACCGCTGGACTTGCCCTGCGAGATGCCAACCGAGACGACGGTTTCGATTTGTCCTTGACGTCGAGGAACGCGTCTTCCACAACGGCGGCCTTGCCCTGCCGCGTCAGTCTCCCGCCCTCCATATTCCACATCTCGGGACCTGATCGTCATCAGCATACACACGAATACACAACCCTCTCACTCACACAGCGCGTTTACGAATTCGGTGTTGTGCGAAATGATGCATACCGCCCCGCTCCATTCTCGAATCGCCACTGCAACTCCCCCAATCGCCTCTCGGTCCAAGAAGTTGGTCACCTCGTCCAGCACCACAATCTGCAAAAGGTCAGTCGTCGTGTTACACTCCCGGTCGACACTCACCTGAGGATTGTTCCACAACGCCGCCGCAATCACAACCTTCATCTTTTGCCCACCACTCAATCCCCCCATCTCGTTGTACTGCGCAATGTCCCCATCCAACCCGACCTCTTCCAAGTGTTTACGTACCAAGCTTAACGTAGTCTCTTTTGACCCTGCCCCCTCTCGCGACGACTCCAGGTCATCAAACCGTTGCACCAGCTTGGTGAACCCTTTCTCCAGCAACTCTTCCCTCGCAACCCATGTGTTGAACTTGTGGTCCATTCCGCGCCACTTGATCTCGTATTGGAACGACTTTTTCAACTTTTGCCGTCCCATGATCATCTACAACGCCATCAGCCACTGCTCGCCCAACAGCCACCATCCTTACCTCGATTTTCCGCTTCTCGCCCGTCTTGCCTACCCAGTCCTGCTCCAGCAGCTCCCTGTCTTCCGCCGTCAGTACCCGCGTCGACTTTTCCAGCACTTCCTTGTCGTGTCCATCTTGGAACCGCCACTGGATGTACCCAACAGGCGTCTTTTCCAAGTGTTGTTCTGCTCAAATGTCAGAATCTACACCGCCTCCAATGATTGTCACGCACCTATGTGATGCGTCGCATGCTGAGCAACATACCCGACCCGCAGTGACGGATGCTTGTACACTGTTCCCTCTTGCGGCGATGCCTCTCCCTATAACCAATCTAGGTCACCTCCACCTGCCACACCGCACGCCACTCACCGTCAATAATCTGATCAGTGTCGACTTGCCCGCTCCATTTGGCCCGATAATCCCAACCCGGCTACTCAAACTCAATGCACAAGTCACCCCACTCAGACTCGGGCTATCCCGTCCTGGGTATGTGTACGTGCAATCTTTGAGCTTCAGTATCGCACGCGTGTTCGACCGGACCCCCATCAGCGACCCAGGAGGCGGGAACGAGAACCGGATCGAAGTTGCCGCGAGTGTATAGTAAGACTGAGCCGACGGCACCTTTTCCACAAATGCCTTCAAAGGCCCGGGGTAGTACACCAGCTGATAATCAAATTCAGTACGACCCCTTTCGCCACCCGGTCCCCCTCACCTTTTTCGACTCGTAGTGGATGATATCCGTCGTTACGTTGTCCAGAAACCTAGATCCCCGTCAGCACGCCATATCGCCACGCCGGCGAAATAAACGCTACCCGGAATCGTGACTGACAATCAGGCACGTCACGTTCTTTTGCCCCAGCAACCATTCCTCAAGCCACCTCACCGAGCTCACATCCAGCTATCACACAATGTCAGTCCCCGTCCCAACTCAAAATACCTAGTACCCACGTGGTTGGTAGGTTCGTCTAGCAACAGCAGGTCGGCCTAAAAACGCGTGTTATCAGTGGATTTTCGGCCAATTATTTTCGCCACCTGCCTTGTACAGCATCGCCCGTGCCAGTTCCAGTTTCATTTTCCATCCACCCGACAGGCTGCCCACGGAATGTCCCTGCCTTTCATCGTCGAATCCCACCTCGGTCAATTGTTCTCGAATCTGGCTTCGAGCAACCCCTTCCAGCTCTTTATCTAATCACCCTCCCCGTCAGATCCCCGGCCATCGTTCCCCATGTCCACTCACCTGCTGCGATGAAATCGATGATCGATAGTGATCTATCTTCGCCTTGCAATGCGTGTTCGACCATTACCGCTCGCACTTCGCTTTGCGGGGGAAAGTTTTCCACCTTGGGACAAGTCTCAGCTCGACCTTCCAATCGAATCACCCACTCACCTTGCCGTCACGAATAGCCCGGAGAAGCGTGCTTTTTCCCATCCCGTTGCCGGCACAGATTCCGTACCGCCGGCCTCGCACCAACCGCAATCGAGTGTGCGACAGCAGCAGTAACGCTCCGTAAGCAAGCGAAAATATGGTGTCCACAATCACATCCTCGTTCCCTTGTTCCCCAGAACTGCCTGTACCTTTGGCCTGCCGAATGGACGTCAGTCGAATCCACCTTCCCTTTACGCCACTCACCAATTCGATTGCCAGAAAACGCATTCGCGCTTCTTCTGCAAATGATTGACTCTTGACTTCCTCGCCCCACCCTTCGACAAACGCTCCCAGGCATCGAATCCATTTAGGTTGGTCGGAAGCCGTGAACGCGTTCCGGTGGACCAGTTCGGCGACCAGACCACTGATAAAGTTGACCACGGCGTCAAAATACGGATGAAAGGGAGTCCCAGGCGCATCTGCATCGTTTGGTGATGGGATGACAAGGTTGGGCGGCAAGAGGGATAATATTACGAGCCTTGCCGCCTCGGCTTCCGCAGGCAGGTCCCGAGATGGTGGAGGTGCGCCACCGTCCGTCGACGCGCCAGCCTTGATCAACGTATCGTACGCGCTTTCTGCGAACGCGCGGACCTCTGGAAAGCTCGCCGTCGTCTTGATCTTGACCACGCCCTCCACGAGGGGATTCAAGTACTGCGCCGCCACCACGGGATCTCGCACGAGCTTGCACACGTTCTCCAGGATGATCACCGCACGCCGCTGGACCTCCATGCTTCGATCGTTCAGTGCACGTTGGAGGAGAGGGATCAACACGGCGAGTGATGGGGCCGTCACTTCGGTAACAAAGGTCGTATTCGACAGGGCCTTGATAGCAGCCGGGACGGTTCCAGGTGCCTTCATCGACTCGATGAGCACATTAACGTGGGGCAAAAGGTCCGGATTCGGTAACGTCGAGCACAGCACCGTGGCCGTCTTCACAGCTTCTGTGGATACCTACACACGTCTAAATCATTGAACCGTCCAGATGACCTAAAACGGCACGAACCTCGTTCTTGGTATCGTGCATGGCCTCTTCGACGACCGGCAGAACCGAGCCCAGAAGCGCCGCGAGCTCCTCTTTGCCTTCTTGGCCTTTGATGTCCACCGTCCTCGCGATTTCCTTGAGGCACCCTACCTTGGCTTTCCATTTCCCGTTCACTTTGAGTTCCCCTGCGATGGTTTCGATGAGCTGACCGAGACCTTCGACAGGTGTCAGTGTCGTTATCGCCTGCATTGCGCGTGTCGCGGTGTTTCGTGCCGAATCATCTTCGTCGGCGTACATGTTGAGGAGCAGGGGGACCGAGGGCATCAGGAGTGGTAGTACGGGTTCACGTATGATGGTGGCGAGCGATTGCAGGGCGGCGGCACCAGCAATGCGTGCATAGGATGATTTACCGCTGATGTGGTCTATTAGCGTGGTTAGGACATTTTGGTCTGCGAGTGCGATGAGGCCATGGGTCTTGATGGTACGAGCGATAGAGTCAGCTGGGCCTTTTGCGTCTAGTGGAGTCTTTGCCGATCCAAGCTTCTTGAGCAAAGGTGCCAGTCCGCCGCCTTTGGGTGGCATTAATGATGGTCGAGTCAATAGGAACAATTTCACAAACAATCAACGACAATTTCCACTCGGTTCTACTTTGCCCGCGTTTGAACACAATGACATTTTGTGGACCACGGGACAGATGAGAGCATCTGCTGCGTGTCCACTGCGACATGATGGGACAAGTAGTACAACACGAAACGCACTATAGACGACGACCACGGCGACCTCCCTACACTGACCGTCAGTCGCAGGTCATGGATCGCGGAATGCGGACGCACCTTTCTCCGCGTAGAGTCGGTAGGAACAGGCGTCACATCCTCTATCCTCCCAATCTTCATCCCAGAGCGAGCCAGGGCACGGAGAGCGCTCTGAGCACCAGGGCCCGGCGTCTTGGTTCCCGTACCACCAGTAGCCCGCAGTTTCACATGTAACGCATTGACACCGATTTCCTTGCACCGTGCCGCAACGTCTTGGGCCGCCAACATGGCCGCGTAGGGCGAAGACTCATCACGATCCGCCTTAACCTTCATACCACCTGCAGGGAGGAATCGTCCGTGTCAGCATTTGTAACACCAACTCACACAACTCGACCACCCTGTTACGCGTGCAATGGTTTCCCGTCCAGTCAAGTCGGTGACGTGCACGAATGTATCGTTGAACGACGCAAAGATGTGCGCTACCCCAAACACAAGCTCGCCCTCTGCAACTTGGGGACCGAGAGAGATGGCCACTTCCTCCTTTTGTACCTTCTTTTTGGGGGCCTACACATCCAAAATTAGTACACCTCTCATCGTCGCCGCCGTCTCACTCACCATAGTTCGGGTAAAGCGAATAGTCGGACCTGAAATCGAATTTCGTTGATTTTCCCACAACACGCTTTCGAACCCCGATGCGCACGTAATGATGGCAAGGACCGAGGTACGCCCGGGCTAAAGCCAACGCAACCGAGTGCACTCAACCACCATCATATCATCAGCCACGTACTTAACGACAGCAGACCTTAAATACCACCTCGTTCTTTACAACTTCCCTCCCCCTCGCTGTCCAACCATGCCCGCTTCAGACGCCCCGCC